TAATGATCATGTTTTATTAATGATTACATTGCTCTACTGAGTGCTTATATGCTCATGTTAGGTTCTTTCTACTGTATAATATAGGTTAACTTACTAGAATGGCTTTGCAAAAAGATGTTTTGGAACAAATTGTTATTCTCTTGGAATGTCTTAATGTTCAGCGAGGTTTTCCAGAGTCTGGGTTGCAGTCAAGCTGATAAGGTGTTCCAAAATAATAGAAATGAATATCTCTTGTAATTGTTGATGTACTGCTTGTGCAAATTCTTAAATAATTGAGATAATACTGTATGTAAACTGTGTATGCTTGGGAGGTCCTACATGATAATGTGTGAGATTGTTGCTTAAAAGCCTCTTCTTTTGATCAGGACATAAGTGAATCATTTCACACACCGGTATCTACCACTTTAAGAACTGTGGTAAATACCTCATAGCATTCTGCAAAACCTTTTTTGCTATTCACTAGAAAAACACTTCTAAAAGGGAGCATGCAGTATTTTTTTTTTTGTAATTTGCGGTATTTATCTCATGAAACCATTTAGTATTTTATCTCATGATGTGATATCCAGTGGGATAGATCCAGTGGAGGATTAGAACCCGTCAGTTTTTATTGCTAATAAAGAGGTAAAATGATTTAAACCGTAGAAATATGCCAACTAACTAAGTCAGTGAGGTCACTGCAGCATATGTATTAACCACTTCCCGTCTGGCTCATGTACATAAATGGCCGGAAGGGAGCAGTGCAGGAGTGAGTTGTCGTTCATAAACGGCGCCTGCATTTTCAGCCTGTGCGTGCTTCCTGGGAGCGAGCGGCACCACGATCCAGTGCCCGCTGTGTCCTCCGATCGCTGTACGGGACCTCTGTGTGAGGTTCCGATCATGTGAACACTGATTGGCCAATCAGTGATCACATGAATAGTAGTAAGCAAGATGTCACTTCTGACATCATTGCTTACTACGTGTGAAATCTGTGAATGATCACAGAGGTCACATGGTACAAGGCTATTCACAACATCCTTGTACCATGTGACAAGCTGTGACCAATCACAGCTTTCACAGTATTTCTCAATGGCTGCAAGAATGCAGTCATAGAGAAGGAAAAATGATTGCTTTTACAGCCTTTATGGGTGTAAAAGCAATCAGTGTAAAAAAAAAAAAAAAAATCTTCATCACCCCACTTACTATGGTGACACTGTACTGCTAGGGTGACAGTATGTTAGAAAAAAAACAAAACATAAATAATAATGTATAAAATGTAAAATTGTTCTTTTAAAAATTATAATTTTTGGTTATAAACTAATTTGGGTTATTTATTTTTTTACTAAAAAGATAGCTGAATACATTTTGGCCAAGATTTATGAAGAAAGATTATTTATTTGCAAAATTTTATAAAAAAAAACACCAATTGTCAAAATGTTTGGACTTTTTCCCAGTGGTGAATAAATGCCACCAAAATAAAGTTTTATCTGTCTCAAAAAAAATGCTAAAAAATTCATCTGGGTACAGTGTTGTATGACAGCGCAATTGTCATTCAAAGTGTGACAGTGTGATCATATGATCGGGACCTCACATAGAGGTCCCGTACAGCGACCGGTGTTCCGCTGTGTCCAAAGGACACAGCGGGCACCGAATCGTGGTGCAGCACGCTCCCAGGGAGCGTGCACAGGCAGGGAAATGGGAGGAAGAAGTTTATAAACAGCCACCCACTCCTGCACTGCTCCCATCTGGCCGTTTATGTACATGGGCCAGACGGCAAGTGGTTAAGGATCACCACGCACGTCACTCTCTCTACATTTACCTTTACTTTGTAATTCTTATCTGCTAAATAAACTTTCAAAACTTTTAACTGTTAAATATTATTGTTATTAATGTTCCTTTGCTATTTAAGCCTGCTTTCACACTGCTGCGGTGCGTTTTTTTCCCACACCGCGGGTGCAGTGCAGCTTACCCACGAGTTTGGAGTGGGTTAGCTGTGCTTTTCCATTGAGTTATAATGTGTCCCAAGTGGCCGACTTTCAGAAAAGAACACCAAACACGCGGGGCACAATATAACTATTGGAAAGCTCAGCTCACCTGCTCCCAACACGGGAGTAAGCGTGGCTGCTCCCGCGGTGCTGGAAAACTGTTCCTCAGCACTGTGAAAGTATACTTAAGGTTCACTTGCCTGAAGTTGTGTTTAGATGTTCTCCCTCCATCTCTCTGTGCACCGAATCAGTTATAACAGCCATAAGCCAAAGCAGGAGGTTGGTGGACAATGCCAGCATGATGCCATATCTGAAAACATAAAACAGAGATGAGTGCTGAAATACTGAATTCCAGCTGGATCCTGGAGAAATCTTCATTGCAGGGATGCCAGTCCTCTTACTGCCTTTGAACCGCGACACTGTACTGGTTAACAGCTTTGGATCCTCAAACAAAACTGCAATACGGATGGTCCAACGGGGATACTTCCCTCCTTCCTTCTCCTCTATTGAGAAAAGTACTTTCACTGATTACAATGCTTGTAACACGCTTTGTGAATGGGGGGAGTCTGATCAGTCACAAGAGTCTCTCACAGTCAGTGTAACCAATGAACAAACGTTTCTCACTGGAGGAGTAGGAAGGAGGGGAGCATGTCCTGTCAGATCACCTGTACTGCTATTCTGCCTGAAGACCCAAATGTATTAACCACTGCAGTGCAAAAAGTTCAGAGACAGGAAGAGGACAGGGCATCCCTACAGTGAAGATTTCTCCAGGATCCAGCTGTCTGCACAACATGGGACATATTTCATTACAGTTAAGTGATGTGACTAAGGCTTGGTTCACACTGCGGCTACTTTTGAGACCCCAAGTCGCATGACATGTGAAATCGCATGTTAGTCAATGAGAGCTGTCTTAATTAGCACTACCGAAGTCACTCTGACTTTATAAAAGGTTCCTGTACTACTTCAAGGTGACTTCTATCCGACTTGTGCCCATAGACTTTAACAGAAGTCGCCTCCAAGTCAGATCTTCATCTATATTGATGTGATATGGATCCGACATTACAGGAAGATTACCGAGGCATCCCCTGAAAGTTGCTTCAAAGTTCCTTTAAAGTCACTTCAAAGTAGTACTCAAGTCACCCGGGAAAGTTGCACTGCAAGTCACACAACTTTCAGGTAGCAGTAGCGTGAACTGAGACTAAAGCTATAGGAATTTGTTTAGCTAAACTTCAGCTTTAAAGAAAAAAAGCCTGAATAAAAAGAAAAGAATTCATGCACCACACCTAATGCCTCTTAAGCTGCAATACATCACATTCTTGTTTTGGTGTTTAGATTTGTTTTATGTTTTATGGAGACCCCTTTTGATATTTGTCCTGGTTGCCCTTGCTACTGGGATAGAAGGGGGATTTAAAAATATTAAAATTTTTACTAGAACCAGAATGGAGGTGAAATCTTCCAATGGGGCCATCACTCTACAGACAATTGTCTGAGAATTAGTTTCCCATATTTCCTTTCACTTCTGGTTGTGTCTCTGTTATAGGATGGAAGGCACTGGCGTAGCATCAGGGGTCAGAGGGGGTCGCAATGATGACCGTGCTCCAGGAGGCCTGCGCGACCTCTCTTTCACATTAATTTCTACACCTGGACCAGAAGAGCTGCATATACAGGACCTGATCCTCTCCATTTCCCTCTTGCAGCCACTGAAAGCCAGCTTCTCCTCCTCTCCTGATGGCATTCAGCAACTACAGAAGGAAAATGGGTCCTGTATATCCTATATACCCCCTGTCCAGGTTCCTGTTATTTCTGCTGCCTGGGCTCCCTGTGTGCTCCCCTGTCCTCCCGGCTGCTGCCCCCCCCCCCCTCCTCCCGGCTGCTACGGGCACACAGTGGGATGTTTCAGGGTGGAGAGAGGGAAAAGAAGTGGGTAAATATGTAATTTATGGGCCCCTTCCTTTTCTGAATCAACAGAGTGAGCGATACCACTCTTTCCTGTGTCCATTCATAACTGAAGCTTAGTAAACTGTGTTTACTATTCTTCGGTTTGTGAATAAATGGAAAGCTCTATACAGAGCTATTCCTTTTCATTTTTTCTTCCGCAGCTGAGATGGAGATTGGGGGCTGTGTCCTCAATTTCCTTTCTCTGTCTCAAAAGTGAGATTTCAGGGGTCTCTTTAGACCCCTGATATTCCGCCAAAGCCCCCCAAAGAGGCGCCTAAAAAAAAAACTGGAAAAAAAATAGTAAAAAAAATAAATTATAAAACCAAAGCAAAATAAAAAAGTAAAAAAAGAAATATAATGCAAAATTTGGCTCCCCCGAATTGTGGAACTGAACTGACTGACTGTGACAATTACAAATTCAATTTAAATCACAAATGCACTGGAATCCAAATTCAAAAATTTTAATTAATTTCCCCATGGGCCAACTACTCCGGCATCATGTGATGTCATCCAAAAGCATGATGAAACAAAAGCATTAGTTAATTTTGTTAAAACTTCGGATTTATTGACATTCATTACCATGTCTATTCAGAGATTCGTATACATCCGAATCTCTGAAAGTCAACTTTTTTGTCAGAAAATCAATCTGTAACAAAACAAAATGCACACATCTAATGTAGACCATCTGTACCAGTTGACAGTGCATATAACCTACACTACATTCTCAGGCTCATAGCTAGTTTTCTTTTCTCCAAGTCCCTTAGTATTACCATTTGCCTCTTTTCATACTCACCTAGTTATATTATGTTGCACCTGCACACAGTCCTGGCATGCAAACCACAAAAAACATGTCTGCAAGGAAAGCATATCATGAGTTGCACACGGACACTCTTTTCAGCTTATCACATTGAATATTGCATATACCAGATAAACAAGTGTTTTTAAAATATTCTTAACCTCTTCCACGCAGCACTATAGCAGGAATACTGCTACAGGGTGTCGGGTGCACAAAATCATGTGTATATACGTGATTTTGCAGTTCCGGGTAGGGGGCATACCCACGCTGCCCACCGGCACCCGATCTCCAAGGATTTCCAACAGGGGAGAGACCTGTATGTAAACAATACAGATCTCTCCTCTGTCAGCTCCTGCCCACTGCTTTTTATGGCTCTGCAGCCATACAAAGCAGTGTGCTTACAGTGAACACACACACACAGCCCACATAGTAAAACAGCACACATATAATCCTTTGATCGCCCCACATGTTAACCCCTTCCTGCCCAGTGTCATTAGTACAGTGTCAGTACTTTTTATTAGCATTGATCACTGTATTGGTGTCACTGGGGATGTCAGTGACACCAAATCAGTTCCCTCCAGTGTCAGAATGCCCACCGCAGTCCCGCTATAAGTCGATGATTGCCGCCATTACTAGTAAAAAAAAAATCCCAGTATATATATACCGCCATTTGTAAACGCTATAACTTTCACGTAAACCAATTAATTTACATATATTGGGATTTTTGATAGTTAAGACATGCAGCAGAATACATTTTGGCCTAAATTTATGATGCAATTTGATTTTTAAAATTTTTTTACTGGACATGTTTAACCTTTTCACGCTGGCCGCACACAAATGTACGGCCTCCCGGCGTCTGGGCCTAGACGCAGAGTGGCCGCACATTTGTGTGCAATTAAAAAATAATATGTGCTGAGAACGCGTACCCTGAGCACTCCCAGCACACATGTCCTGTATTCACGGAAAGGTCCCGATCTCCTCTTTCGATTGGGACCTTTCCCGATCATGTAACCGCTGTGACGGCGAATCACGGTGGTCACATGACCCTAAAACCCTGCCCCGCCTCCCGGCTTCTGAAACCCTTAAAGGGCCGGGAGGCGCCTGTACCAAGGGGTTAATAGCAAGAAGTCAAAAAATATAGTTTTTTTTCAAAATTGTTGATTGGTAATTTTTTTTGTTTTTAGCTCAAAAAATAAAAACTGCAGAGGCGATCAAATACCACCAAAAGAAAGCTCTATCTGTGGGAAAAAAAAAGGTAAATTTCATTTGGGTGCATCATTGCATGACTGCGCAATTGTCAGTTAAAATAATGCAGTGCCGTATTGCAAAAAAAATGGCCTGGTCAGGAAGGGGGGTAAATCCTTTGGAGGGCAAGTGGTTAATATTTTTAAAAAGATTGCTATATATCTCAATTCGTTTTTTAGACTTTACCCACCTCACAGTAGTGCCTTCCACCAGTCATGACCCTTCTGTAAGAAGAAAACTTCCATTTTCTATACAAATGGTATGCACTGCACATTTTTGTTACTCTACCTACGTATGTATCCATTGTTACCTGTTAGAGTAATTAATAAATATATTGATGCTTCTGGCCACCATCTGAGAAAATGGCGTGCAGCATTTTTTTATACCTATGCCAATCACAAAATCCTCTTGTTTGCCATTTTACCCAACCTGATCTTCACATGCTGCCCTCCCTCCAATTCAATTACCCCTTGCCAAGCCCAGGGTTATGGTTTTACAATGTGTCCTGCAGTACAGGCCAACTACAGCTGAAACGTATTTTTCGTTTGGTTTGATTTGGAGAAAGTGGGGATGAGTTAGCATCGCTGTCAGGTTTTATTTGAGCTTTGTACCTCACTAAGGGGAAAATTAACCCACATTTTTTTTACAACAGCAAATAATAAAATATATGTCTACTAAGCCCAGCATTTATTAATAGTCTAATAGCCAATTACCTGTGTGGCAATGAAGATGATTTCCATGACAGAGAAGACGATATCCATTGGTATCTTACATGTCATTAGACTTACATCATAGCCAATTTTGAAGATAGCTAGGAGGAGACTGCAGATCCCAAAAAGAGCGAGAGAGGCTGCAGAAAAAGAATAGTTGGTACCTGATTTTTAGTTCCGTCACATTGCTAGAGCAAATAGGTGCTGATGATACAGCATTCTATCATATCAAGTGATGTAAGTGAACTGGGTACTGCTTGTAATCAACGGGCCATGTAGCGGTTACAGTACATGCAGAGGCGTCCCTAGGGTTGGTGTCACCCGGTGCGGTAACACTTGGTGACACCTCCTCCGACGATCCCCGCAGAATGGATCAGATCTGCGGATTGAGCATAATGGATCAGACTCCGATCCATTATGCTCCTCAATCCACAGATCCGATCCATCCTGCAGGGATCATTGACTTTCTTTACAACTTACCTTTTCGTGGAGCGGGTCTGGTGTCATCCCATATAGGTTGCATGCCGACGATCCCCACAGGATGGTTCGGATCTGAGAATTGAGCATAATGGATCGGAGTCCGATCCATTATGCTCCCCAATCCGCAGATCCAATCCATCCTGCAGGGATGCAACCTATATGGGGTGACACCAGACCCGCTCCAAGAAAAGGTAAGTTGTAAAGAAAGCCGACGGTCCCTGCAGGATGCATCGAATCCATCCTGCGGGGATCGTCCGCTTGCTTTACAACTTACCTTTTCGTGGAGTGGGTCCGCACCCCCCTCACCTGCCTCAGGACGCCACTGAGTACAAGCAAACCATCATTTTGCTTCCCCTTTTTGATCCCATGTTGCCTATCAGTGCTGCAAAACTCCTGCCCCTATGCACTCCAGCAACTGCTGCACCTAATTTTTCAGGGTGGGTTTCCTGATGGTAACAACAGAAGATGATGTCTGTGCAATGTGAAAAATTAAATATACTGTATATATATATTAAAGCCCAACAAGCAAAAGTCCCAAATTAAAGTCCAATGTCCCAAACATTTGTGACGAAAAATATAAAAACTCTAACACAAACATCAAAAATTTTCCAGCGTACTCACATCCTCAGTGAAAAATCATTTGTTCTACACTCACTGAGGATGTGAGCATGCTGGAAAATTTATGAAGTTTGTGTTAGAGTATTATATGTATTTTTCCTAACAAATTTTTGGGACACTGGACTTTAATTTGGGACTTTTGCTTGTTGGACTTTAATATACATATATATATATATATATATATATATATATATATATATTTAATTTTTCAAATTTTTTTATTATTTGTATTATTTGTGATGTGTCACTTTATGAGTATATTTTGATGTTCAGTCAATTTTTGAACAGCAGCATTTATTTTGATTTATTGTTTATTCCTTGGCGCAAGGTTTCTATTTTTTTGTTTATTTTTTTGTCTGTGCAATGTGCTTTGGTGTGGATGCTTTTAGTTTCATTCAGGAATGTGTGTGACAATACAGTTGAACACACGAGAGACAGGGACAGAGCATTGTTACCCCATAAAAGGAAACGTATGCACAAGGACCTTCACGACAGGATAACCTGGTATTATTTTGTGAAAGCTGCAGATTAACCGCTTCTGCACCGCCCCATAGCAGAAATACTGCTACAGGGCGGCACATGTGCGCAAAATCACGTATGCATATGTGATTTCGCAGTCCCATTTATGGCCACGGCAGTCAATCACTGGGTCACGGCCAGTGATTACTCACCGGCGCCTTGTGATTTCCAAGGTTCTCTGACGGGGAGAAGAACTGTTTTGCTTACTACCAGTTCTCCTCCCTGTCAGCTCAGGCACACTGCTTTGGATGGCTGTGCACAGCACAGCCATCGAGAACAGTGTGATCACAGTGAAGCACTAGTAAAACACACACAGCACACAGTTAACCCTGTGATCGACCCTCATGTTAACCCCTTCCTGCCCAGTGCTATTAGTACGTTGTCAGTGCTTTTTTTAGGACTGATCACTGTATTGGTGTCACTGTGGATTTCAGTGACACCAAGTGAGTTCCCCCCAGTGTCCGAATGTCCGCCGCAGTCCTGTTATAAGTAGCTGATCACCGCCATTACTAGTAAAAAAAAAAAAAAAAATTCCTGTATATGTACCACCATTTGTAGACGCTATAATGTTCACGTAAAACCAATTAATTTACACGTATTGGGATTTTTTTAAGCAAAGACACAAGGATACATGTTGGCCTAAATTTATGATGAAATTGATTTTTTTTAATTTTTTTGCTGAAGAAGTTTAATAGGAAAAGGTCAAAAATATTTTTTTCTCAAAACTGTCGGTCTTTTTTTTTTTTATAGCGCAAAAAATAAAAAACCACACAGGTGACCAAATACCACTGAAAGGAAGCTCAATTCGTGGGAAAAAAAGGATGTAAATTTCATTTGGGTGCAGCGTTGCATGACCGCACAATCGTCAGTTAAAGTAATGCAGCGCCATAGCGTAACAAATGGCCTCATCAGGAAGGGGGGTAAATTCTCTGGAGGGCAAGTGGTTAAAAAATATTAAACATTGATTTTAAAATGACTTTCTTCTTCTTCTTATTATACAGGATTTATATAGCGCCAACAGTTTGCTCAGCATTTTACAAAATGACTTTAACTGCCATACAGTTTTTTTCCTTGGGTTTAAATACACTTTACCATGTTAAAGATTATATGAGAGGTGAGTGATTGGGTTTACATTTACTAGAGGTTCAGAAATAAACTTTGCATCATAAAGATGATAAAAGAGCTCTGTCCTGTTTCAAATGCTGCTTTATTCAGTGACACCTCTTTAGATGCTTGGCTGTGCAGATAGTATGAGCACTTAATGATATGGCAGCACAGTGGCTAAATGGTTAGCACTTCCACCTGGCAGTACAAGGGTTGTTGGTTTGTATAACAACAATGGCACCACCTGCCTGGAGTTTGCATGTTCTCCATGTGTCTGTGTGGGTTTTCTCCGGGTACTCCGGTTTCCTCCCACACTCCAAAGACATGCTGGTAGGTTAATTGGATCCTGTCTAAATTGGCCCTAGTACATGAATGTAAGTTAGAGACCTTAGATTGTACACCCCTTGAGGGTTCGGGACTGATGTGAATGTATAATATATATGTAAAGCGCTGCGTAAATTGGCGGTGCTATATAAGTACCTGTAATAAATAAATACATTTGGCAGCATTCACAGACAGTTTAACTTTCGAATAAGACACAGAAGTTGAATCCAATGTAATTTGATTTTAGATACAGTAAGTTCAATATATAGGACGCTTTTTCCAGTCTTTGAAGGATAAGAAGGCAACAACTTTTGTAAGCTCTGCTCTGCGATTAAAGTGAAAATAAATTGGGCAAGCATAAAGGAGCAGATAGTGCCTAGCTGTTCTAATTAGATACAAAATGGGGAGAGAAGAATAGAAGAACATACCAGAGGCATTAGCTAAACAGGCTGTTCTAGCAGCACATTTCTAGTATCGTTAGAGGAAAAGAAATTTAATCTCCAAATGCGGAAAGGTTTCTTCACAGTAAGAGCTGTGAAAATGTGGAATAGACTCCCTCAAGAGTTGGTTCTGGCCAGCTCAGTTAATTGATTTAAAAAAGGCCTGGATTCTTTCCTAGATACACAGAATAATAACTGGATACTAACATTTAGGTAAAGTTGATCCAGGGAATATCCAATTGCCTCTCGGGGGATCAGGAAGGAATTATTTTCCCTGCAGGAGCAAATTGGATCATGCTTTGTTTGGTTTTTTTTTTGCTTTTCTCTGGATCAACTGATAATCTGTGGGTATATCAGTGCAAAACAGTGCTGTTTATTTACACTGATAATCAGATCACTAATGATTAGTGCAGCCCCATTAGTACCCATCAGTGCAGCCTAGCAGTGTCCATCAGTGCCACCTATCAATGGCCATCAGTGCTGCCTATCAGTGCCCATCAGTGCTGCCTATCAGTGCCATCTATCACTGCCCATCAGTGCTGCCTATCAATGCCCATCAGTGCCTCCTTATTAGTGCCCATCAGTGCCGCCTATCAGTGCCCATCAGTACCACCCCATTAGTGAAGCCTGTCAATGCCCATCAGTGCTACCTATCAGTGCCCATCAGTGCTGCCTATCAGTGCCTCCTCATCAGTGCCCATCAGTGCCTATCAGTGCCACCTCTCAATGCCCATCAGTGCTGTCCATCACTGTTGTCTATCAATGCCCATCAGTGCATCCCCATTAGTGCAGCCTATCAGTGCCCATCAGTGCAACCTCATCAGTGCTTTTTGTCTTTTTTGTTTGTTTAGCAAGAAATAAAAACCCCAGTGGTGATTAAATACCACCAAAAGAAATCTCTATTTGTCCTAAAAAAATGATAAAAAATGTCATATGGGTACAGTGTTGCATGACCGTGTAATTGTCCTTCAAATTGAAACAGCGCTGAAAGCTGAAAATTGGCCTGGGCAGAAAGGAGGTGAAAGTGTACCAGTAGGCGAGTGGTTAAGTGGATCCCAAATTACAGGATGTAACGTAAATGTAAAGATTTGAGTAGCTGAGATGTGATCTGTAGAAATATGACTGTAAATTTAGCTTCATTCTATGTTAATAGTAGGATGTGTTCAGAATTCAGTCAGAGACATATGGTCACCAATTAGCATCTGAAGGGACAGAGCATCCTCTAGGCTGGAGGTGACACCTGGATGCCAATAAGATTTGTCACCTTCTGGAAAACTGGAAGGAAAAGGCTCTAGACAGTTTGGCTTCATGACCAGAGGTGGTTCCGATGTGTCTGGGAGCTTTGACGTATATACACAGATCAAAGTAATATATTTCATCTCTCATAAAAGATAAAATATTAGTTTGCAGAGAGATGAAAATACTTCCTTCTGATTGGACACACTGTAGTCTACATCTGCATGTAAAACTGTATTTGTAGCCTATGTAGAATCCCAGAGAAATGCAGAAAACTGTTATATGGCGCCTGATTGCGACAGCTGAACAGTGATTGGTAATGTCGCGATCGAACTGATGCGCTGGTGTCAGAAATTCAATCCCTGACTTGGTAATTCAAACTGTTCCTGGTCCAATCGACTTTGGGCATTTCAGTACCCAGAACTTCCTGTGGGCTGGTACAGGAACACCCCCCAGAGTCGATTGGCCAAGGGCTAATGTCCAGCCAACGTCCATATTCCCATAAATTGAGGACCTGGGATGTGGACAGTGTGATTCGTACGGAGCTGGTTCTCTTGACTGGCGGATCACAGACTTTTCTCTGACTTGCTCCAGTCGCAGGATAACTCTTGGTAAAAGTTTTATTTCTGTTTTTTATTCCCTTTTATTTTATAGTCAATAGCCAATTGTGTGTCTTCTTGTATTTTCGGTAAATTTTTATACTTTGTACATATTTTATACACTGCCCACTTTCGGGATATTAAATCATAAAATTAATAAGTGACTTCTGGGTACTTTAAGCTTGGGCTCATATCTCTGGAGAGATTGTATTGTACTGTAGTGTCTTTATATGCTCGGTCAAGTTCATTGCCAATCTGTATGCAATTGCACTGCGTGTTGGCAAATTGCATGCAGATTGTAAATCTAACAGATCTGCCAGACGGAGATCTGTGTGTGTGTGGTGGCCCAGCAGGCCAGTCTGCGGATATAAAACTGTTGGGTGGTGGCAAGCTACCGTTTGTGTGTGTGTCTCGTGTGAGGGTGTGTGGACAGTGGAAGAGTGATTAACACCGGGGTTCTAGCTTGTAGGTTAGCTGGAGGAATCCTAGAAGGGTGTGCCGATTGCTAGGCTGCTCCTCAACCCTTAGTGTGCACCAGATTGTATATAAGATTCATATCTGCCTGTGTGTGTGTGGCCAGCCAGCTGGATTGGAGTGGAGTCTCCCTCTAGTGGTGGCCAGAGGTAGTGCGGGCTGTGAAAGTATATCACGGCCGGTCTTATATACGTATATATATATATATATTCAAAGTAAGTCCCCCTTATTCCCTCTTTATTCCAAGTCATGGCCGGACGTGCACGCCTAGGTTTAGTCGCTGTGGGTGTGGGCATGTGCGTGTGGGTTGGATCCGTGACACAGGACATAAGCACTTTTCCTTTAAGAAGTTATGGCCAATGGCAACTCACCGCCAAGCAGTCTGTGATAAAGCCTTATACTGTTCTTTGTCATCCAGAGCCTGTGATGTTGGCACCAAGTCAGGGCAAAGTAGTGGCAATCTCTTACTGGACTAATGATTGTTGGCAGCAACACAGGACCCAGTAGTGGTGATCTCTTGCAGGAACAATGATGTTGGCAGCAACTCAGGACCCAGTGGTGGTCATCTCTCGCTGGACCAATGATGTTGGCAGCAACTCAGGACCCAGCAGTGGTCATCCCTTGCTGGACCAATTATGTTGGCAGCAACTCAGAACTCAGTAGTGACAATTTTCTCATGGAACCAATGACGCTCTCAGTCTCTCTCTTTCTCCATTATGATAGTAAACACTACTGCAGGCAATACTCACTCTAATCATCACCTATCACTCTTCTACCAGACTGCCCAGCTTTTTTATCTTCCTGCAGCCTTTTTGTCTACCTGCTACCTGTAGTCCTATCCAGATCCTTGGGTTGATAGAGAACTTTCTCCTGGAGACTACTTCCACCATATTTCCAGCCAGTTCCCAGCTTGATGTTGGATCTACTTCGGGGGACATTTTAAATTTGTTTTCTAATAAAAGACTTGTCAAAGACTGTCTCCTGTCATTTTGTATACTACACTTTTTTTTTACCATGTACCCCATTCTCATTCACATGGGGGAGGGGGGGATCTGGGGGTCCCCTTGTTAAAGGGGGCTTCTAAATTCCCATAAGATCCCCCCAACCCCGGTTGTGGGGAAGAGGCCCTTGTCCCCATCAACATGGGGACAAGGAGCTTTGGGGGGGAGCCCCCTGCCCCAAAGCACCCCCTGTTGAGGGCATGTGGCCTGGTATGGTTCACTAGCCTTTTCAAAAGTGTTCCGTGTCCTCTCTTCTCTCCCCACATTGCTGCTCCTTTGCTCATTGGTGGCCGGAAAGAGGGAGAGAAACTGTGTTAGTGGAAGCATCATTAGTGACAATGAGACCCATGCGGCAGTGTGCAGGGCATGACATGGACCCACTGAGAGAATATTTTCCAGACAGATTACCATAGCGTTCATAAGCTCTTTCTAGCACTACTTTGTTGCTCTGCATCATTATGTGTTTTAGCAGCAGCAGTAGTAATGTTTTGCATTTATTCTGCAGCCCAGATAAATTATCAAAGCATTTATTTGCTTTTTTTCTTCATAACTCTTTAAGCTTCAATGAAAGCTTAACTGTGTATTTGGGTCTAGCAGATATCTCTACCTGCTGCAAATCCGTTTCATTTTGATGGTCTATGTCTATCCACTTGACTTCCTCAAGATTTTTACCCCCCTACCTGACCAGGCTTTTTTTTTTTTGCTATACGGCACTGCATAACTTTAGCTGACAATTGCACTGTCATGTAACACTGTCCATATATTAAATTTATGTAATTTTTTTCCCACAAACAGAGTTTTCTTTGGGTGGTATTTGATCACTACTGGGGTTTTTTTTTATATTCAACTAATTTTTATTAATTTTGAATTAACAGGGGAGAAAAAAAAACCCAGGACATCCATTGGTTCACAATAGTTACATAAGTATATAAGGATGGAAATAATGTGTATAAGTATGGTTCCACATGGTACAATACTTTCATATTTAATAATGTATTCCAAAAAGGTAAGAGCCATCAAACTTCAAACTGTGCATTTGGGATGCAGTGCCCATAGATGCCAGGATCTATATATTTGTGATGTGATAGGTGGGAGAAAGAGAATGTCACACTGGAAATTAAGGTTGGTGACCACTCTTGTTTAGGGATGGGTATTCTCTGGTTTTCCATAGGCCAGTTATATTGTTTTTTTGGCTGCATAAAGGATGTGTATTATGATCTATGATTACGAAGTTCTGGGGAGAATCTACTACCAGGTTTTTTAATTTTTTTTTTCTATACAAAAAACACCTACAATTTTGAAAAAACACAAACAATCTGACACTAACACTATTTGAAACTTTGTGGGAACCAGTGACACTAATTTACAGTGATCAGCGCTAAAAATATGCACTGTGACTGTACCAAGACACATGAACAGGCTGGGAAGGGGTTTAAACACCTAGGGTACTCAAAAGTTACATGTGTGCCTAACCTGTGTTTTTTGTGTGTACTATGTGCTGCTTTCACTAAAGGTTGAGCTGGATTTTATTTCCTGCTTTGCAGGATTGTTCTTTAACATTATTTACAGATGCAGAGCTCTGTCCAGTGTGCCTCCTTGCCGACAACAGGTGTCGGCAGTCATCCATTGGCTGGCACCCGTCAATTGACTTCTGCTGTGGACTAATAATAGCAGAAATGGCGTGCGCACGCCCCCTACCTGGAAGTGCAGAAACATGTATATATATATATATATATATATATATATATATATATATATATATATGTAATTCTGTACAGAGCGGTCACCCTGTAGCAGTAAGATTGCTATAGGGCGGTTGACAACTGGCTAGCGCAAATGCAGAGATCCTTATTGCTACAACAAATGAGAGCAGTATATAAAATCAAAAAAATTAGTTTCAGAAATCAAACATCACAGCACAGTAATTCTATTAGGTATAAACTCCAGAAACAGCAATTTTTTGTAGTTTCATTGAGCTAGCATACACTAAATACACAGAAACATTTAATACACAGAAATTTCCAATGCATGCACAACTTTAAAAATTGTAGGAAGATGCACCTCTAGTGAGATTAGGCACATTAAAAGTAAAACTGATCCCCAGTTCCTTCACAAACAGTGTAATTTGTAAGCAGATCTAATGCAGGCCATACATGGGTCAAATTCTGAACACACTTTTTTTTAGAAAATCGGACATTTTGTGCATTTTTTAATCCGATGGTGCCACCATTGATTTCGAAATTTGACCAACCAAGCCTTTCATTTCACCTCATGTTGCTACAGAAAAGAATTTTCGTGGCCAAGAATTTTCTT